CATTGTACTCAGCACCAAAACATAGAGCATATATAAATGTTAGGTTGGAAACTAAGTTTTGCAACTCCTTTAATAACTTTCCTTTCTCGTTGCATATGATGCGCTCAAATTTTGCCAGTATATGCATATGAAGGTTCAAATTTTGCCAGTATATAGATTATAACCTAAGCTATCTCAAATTTTGCTCCTTTAAACTTTCCTCTCGTTGCATATGATGCTCTCAAATTTTGCCATCTATAGATTCTGACATAAGCTATTAGGTTGGTAAGAAAGTTCTCGGACATTTTTGACTCAATTTTTTGGACAAGTAAAAAAACAAGTTGGAACGAGTTTAGTGGGTCAAAATTGGTATCAGTCGATAGGTCGAAAGCAGCTCTATAGATAAGCTCGGATAATCAATTTATCATATCGACTGCCAGCAGTAATGCCTTCCCGTTTCAAGCCATCGGAAATCCATATTCGGCATGTTTTGCTGTTTTTGTACCAATCAGGCCTCAATGCCAACGAAGCCTATCTTCGCCTGCACGAAGTTTATAAGGAAGATGCGCCAGTCAGAAGCAACATCTATCGCCGGTTCTCCAGGTTTTAGGAAGGAGACTATACCACGGAAGATGAGGTCCGAAGGGGTCGCCCAATGAAGTTGGATTTGGACCTGCTGCGGGACGAAGTGGAGACGAATCCTTATAAGACCACCCGTGAAATGGCGATGAACCTTGGTGTCACTCATGTCACTCTACAAAAAGGACTGAAGTCACTTGGCAAAGTCCAGAAGCTTGGTCGACGGGTACCCCATGCTCTAACCCAACACGACATGAATCGTAGGGTCGACGTCGCACTTTCACTTCTCACTTTGAAGCGCAGTCACAATTGGCTCGACGATCTCATAACTGGGGATGAGAAGTGGGTGCTGTACTCTAACGTCCAGCGCCGTGCCCAATGAGTGGACAAAGAAGACGACGCGCAAGCCATCCCGAAGCCTGACGCACACGGAAAGAAAGTGATGCTATGCATCTGGTGGAGCCTACTCGGTGTGGAATACTGGGAGCTGCTGGATGAAGGTGCGAGGATAACTGCCGAAGTGTACGTTGCTCAGCTACGAAGTTTGAAGTCTCAGCTCCACAACACACGAGGACAGCACTCCCGAGTGTACTTCCAGCACGATAATGCGAGACCGCATATAG